CTATTTCAATAACATGTATTGTGTACATATTAACTGATTTACGATTTAATAGTTTCGATAATGTTTATTAGTATGCCTAATAGTAGAATCTAGAGTGTAGAGAGAAATTTTTAAAACGTCTGAAACGTTAAAGTATGAATCTATTATTTATTTCAATGTTTTCCAACAAACAAAAACTCAAGCAAAATATTAAATACTTTATGTGTGTATGTGTTGGGGGGGGGGGGGTGCTAAAAATATTATTCTATGTACTCGTTGATGGATTTTATTATTTAATACGAGCATTTATAAGATTAATAAACCACAAGGCCTCCTTCGGTTCATGACCTCTATTTCTGTTTCTGCATCGTTAACTTACGAAAGAGGAGCTATTTGTTTTATTAGGGTTCGTCCATAAATGACGTAATGCTGCAAATGGGTGGCATACTGAGATGTGACGTCATATCAGGCTTTGGGTCCTGGCTTTTTGTGACGATGTGTCATCACGTTCAATTGCGCGCCATAACGTTCAATAGGTGCGCAATGGTTTTTAGTCATGCAACTCTAGTGTTGATAAAATATGTAAAGTACTAAAAAAAATCACAAAAAAAAACCCAACGTTTTAATAACAAGCTTTTATGGGGAACAGGGCATTACCACCCCCTCCCCCCGTCAATTCCCCCCCGGACATTGCCCCCCCCCCCCCCCCGACATTACCCCCCGTAACGTTTTTTATGAAATTTTTAATAATAAAAACAAGGTTCGAAGCATTCAATACTAGTGCGGCGTAGTGCAAATTTAACTTGTTAGATAAACTATTTTTACCTATTTAGTATTATTTATCAATCTGATATGAAAACGGGGCTGGAGATATTAATAAATTAGAAAATGTTACAATTTTAATGGTGTTATTAATAAATCGGGTTTTACTTTTAATTTTTAATTCTTTTTAGCTGCATTGTTATTTTAATTATTTATTTTATTACTACTTTTATTTAGAATTTAATAGAATTTTAGAAAGACTTCATAAAAAAATTAAGTTAGTAGAGCGGTCTTTAGCGTAACTAACAATCGTACAGTGCGCTTTAGTACAACTATTTTCTTTACTAAGTGATAATGTAATTCAATGTAATTTTGCGATTTTATTTAGCAAAAAAGCGCCCCCTTCACTGCACCATCTTGATAAAAGTCACTACCTTTTTAAACGTTTAAACTATACGCTGTAATACAATTGGTTTCTTTTATAAGTGGTAACGATTGTCGACTCACCAATATTCCGATTTTAGTCGCGAAAAAGCGAACCCCCCCCCCCCCCTCCCCAAACTAGGAAAAGTTGGAAAGCGGTATATTATCATTTTGTCTATGTTTCTTCATTTTGTCCATTGCTATCTCTCTAACTTACCTATTCCTGTAGCTATCCATATCCTTTTCCTTATCCCTATCCCTATCTCTATTTTAAACACTCCCGTTTTCCCTTTTCTTTCTGTCCATATAACCGTTTCTAATTGAAGTTTCCCTATCATTATTTATCTCTCTATCTTTTTACCTGTAATTACACCTATAGCTGTAAATGTACACATTACTTTACCTGTAACAATTATTACTTTATCTCTTTCTCTAAATGAACGGTAGGTGATGATCTTGAAGTAATATCCTACTGCAATTGTTTGGGTGGGAGCTATGTTTAGGGGGTTATGCACAATGAGTAATTGATTTGACAACTTAATGACAGAGGTGGATGAATGCCGGAGAGTAATTCAAAGGGTCTTTTGGACACGTTTTATTCCCCTGTCCCTTTCAGCTTGTCACGAATCTTAAACAAAATCACCTGTATAGAATTTTTATTTATCCTAAGTTAATGCGTAAACTAATATATAACACTTAACTAATAGTTTGTTTGACCTACATTAACACTTAATCCAACACAAGCTCTAATATACCCTATGCTAATACGCACAGTTACTAGAATAACTAACTTTAGGGAATTTTGGGGCATTAAAACTAGTGTTTTAAACGGACACAAATTTTGAAAATTCATAAAAAATTAGTTTGAAGATATGAATTGATTGTTTATTGGGCTTAAAATGTAATATTTTATGAATGATGGAAAACCTACGATGGGGTTAATTTTTCAAGATGGCCGCCGTTGTCATAGTTACCAAGATTTTTTCACCCATTGTTTTTAGTGGAAATGCATATGCGGATGTATCTTAATAAGGCTGTAAAGAAATAACTGTTTTCTAACGAGTATTAAAAAAGTTTTTTTACCGGAGCCTTCCCCCTTAAAGGAGCAGTATGATTAACCTAATACATTTGTAATCATTTCAGAGGCGTAGCGACCCTTCCCGGCGCCCGGTGACAAACTTTTGATTTGCGCCCCCCCCCCTCAAGATTTCGATTTGCACCCCTCCCCTCAAACTTTCGACTTGCACCCCCTCAAGCTTTCAATTTATTTTTCCAACCCAGTTTGGCGCCCCCTAAGGTCGGCACCCGGGGACATATGTCTAAGCCTAAATCGGTGTTTTTAAAAGATTAAAAGATGTTGGCTGAGGAATGACGTATTTTTAGATTACGAGGTTTGGCTTTTTGTGATAAAGAATGATAGTGGGGAGAAGGAAAGATAAAATCGTCAGAAAAACGTGAGGTCATTTATCGATGAAAGTCGAAACAAACAATTACTTAAAGATAACGGGTAACTTTATCTATATCTATATCTATATCTATATCTATATCTATATCTATATCTATATCTATATCTATATCTATATCTATATCTATATCTATATCTATATCTATATCTATATCTATATCTATATCTATATCTATATCTATATCTATATCTATATCTATATCTATATCTATATCTATATCTATATCTATATCTATATCTATATCTATATCTATATCTATATCTATATCTATATCTATATCTATATCTATATCTATATCTATATCTATATCTATATCTATATCTATATCTATATCTATATCTATATCTATATCTATATCTATATCTATATCTATATCTATATCTATATCTATATCTATATCTATATCTATATCTATATCTATATCTATATCTATATCTATATCTATATCTATATCTATATCTATATCTATATCTATATCTATATCTATATCTATATCTATATCTATATCTATATCTATATCTATATCTATATCTATATCTATATCTATATCTATATCTATATCTATATCTATATCTATATCTATATCTATATCTATATCTATATCTATATCTATATCTATATCTATATCTATATCTATATCTATATCTATATCTATATCTATATCTATATCTATATCTATATCTATATCTATATCTATATCTATATCTATATCTATATCTATATCTATATCTATATCTATATCTATATCTATATCTATATCTATATCTATATCTATATCTATATCTATATCTATATCTATATCTATATCTATATCTATATCTATATCTATATCTATATCTATATCTATATCTATATCTATATCTATATCTATATCTATATCTATATCTATATCTATATCTATATCTATATCTATATCTATATCTATATCTATATCTATATCTATATCTATATCTATATCTATATCTATATCTATATCTATATCTATATCTATATCTATATCTATATCTATATCTATATCTATATCTGTATCTAGATCTAGCTCTAGATCTAGATCTAGATCTATATATATATTTATATCTATATCTATATATATATATATATATATATATATACATATATATATATATATATATATACATATATATATATGTATAGAAATATATATATATATATATATATATATATATATATATATATATATATGTATATATATATATATATATATAGCAATGTGTATGTGTCTGTCTATCTGTCTGTTTGTCTTTTATGCATTACTACACCTTTCATCAGATCACCATGAAACTTTGGGAATACTCTTGGTGAGGTTCATGCGATTAAAAAAAAAAAATCAAATTCACAGGGTCAGCGCCCCGGGGGAGGTGCGATTTTTTTTTTCTTTATATACGGTATAAAAAAATAAAAGTCGATTGCGGTTTCACACCGATCATCCGATCGCCATGAAACATTGTGGAGTTGATAAGAACACCCCAGACTTTCTTCTATTCCCGCGGCAACGCGCGGAGACTGGTACGCTAGTTGTTATGTAAAAACTTGTTATTAAGACGTTTTTATGAATTGCTTTGACCAATATTTTTTATTAATATAAAAAAAACAAATAATTAAACTCTTGTTCGGAAGCTTTTTTTAAAAAAATGATCTTTTATATTTCTGTTTTCCTAATCATTGATTATGTTTGTTTTAATATCAATTTAAATCAATTAAATGTATGCTACTGTTGCATTAAGAATGGTCATCATTACATTTTTTCAAAGTACACTATACAACCTTTCACGGAAAGAAGTACATCATGAACACACTGAAGGCAATGGTGTATCGAATTTGGAATATTTAAATGTGTCTGGGTGCAGTATGCGGTCATTTCCAAATAGTGAGCTGCTGAAAGGAATGAATAATCTAAAAGTATTAGACATATCAAGGTCTAAACATTGCCAATATATTTTATTTTCTAATGATATATCAACATTAATTTCGCTAAGAGAACTGACATTAAATAGATGTTTTACGGGAAGTATTCCCAATTATTTATTTTTCCCAAAAAATCTGAAAAAATTACATTTAAAGGAAAATCGCTTAACTGTATTCCTATCTTCTTCAATTAAACAATATGCATTGACTTATTTAGATTTGTCATTTAATAGATTATCAGGACTATCCGATGAAATGTGCACCGAACTGGAAAGATTTCAGTCTGAAAATAGTAGTTTTAGATTAAATTTACAAGATAACGAATTTCATTTTTCATGCACAAATATTCAGATTCTGCATTTGTTAGCTTACCGTCAACACATGTTTGTTGATGTAGCAAGCATGAGATTTAGCACAGAAAAAAATGTCTTTTACCACAAGGAAATGGTCGCACAACTCCTTAGACTGACACAAAACTGTCAGATAAAAGAAAACTTCAGCTTTGTATTGACGACATTTTTCACCCATCTCCTGTGTTTGCTTGTTCTGGCCGTGTTTTTCCATTACCGCTGGAAGCTGAGGTACCTCTACTTTATTGGTCAACGGCGGCTGCACATTGGTGGACGTTTGGTCAACTACAACCCACAGGTTGATGTCTTTGTCACGTACGATGAGGTATAATATTTTAAGTTAATACACAGGGCGTGCGTTTAAAGATTCCTTTTCAAAATAGCCCATTTCTTAGATAAGGTTATTTTTAATTATTAAACTTCAGTTCTCTTATAAACTCTCATAAAATAAAAAAGACTAAATATAACATAATGTTTAAACATTATTATATATAAATAACGTACACCAAAATTCTTACTATTCTAAGTTTAGGAATAAAATTATGCCAACTCTTTTTCAAACCATTTCTACTGATACTTTGAGATATAATTTTCATTTTATTAGTTGATGCTTTATGTTTTGTCGATGTAATATTAAATCTCAACTTGTTTTGTGAACAGGGTGAACCAAGAATCCGTCAAATTGTAAGAAATATTATCCTGCCATTCTTGAGAGAGAAGAACATCTCTTACATTTTAGGAGAAATAGACTTTCCAGGTGGGGACATGGTGTCACACATCAGTGGAGCTATAACTGGCACAAGAAAAACGCTGATCTTGTTGTCTGAAGATCTTTTCTTGGATCACTACCGAGAGTATGAGATGAACCTGGCCATCATGCGAGAGTTCAATGTACGAGGTCAGGTTATCGTTCCTGTCTTTGTTGAGAGGGTCGACTTGAATACATACCCACCTGAAGTAGAAACTTATTTAAGGAATCAGCTGTACAGGTGTCTGGTCTACAGAAATAACAAAACTTTCTGGACACATCTGCTTCATGTCATTAGAAACAATAAGTAGTTTGATATCTATAACCTATTCTGGTTGCCATATATTTAAACGTAGATTGTTTTTTTTGTAATATATTTTTCAATGCATAATTTAGCAAAATAGCTTTAATATTTTTAATTCACCATTTTGTTAACAGTAAACAATGAGACAGCTTAAGCTTAACCATATCCACCATTGTAAGTTTTATTTATATTCAACAAATCAGTAAACCATTATGATTAAGAAATTTGCTTTTTATTTTTGAATCCGCTTCCAGTTATAGGATCATGACACATGTCGTTTCTTTTTCTTCACTTTTAATGAACTATTTTTTTCTCTGTTGATGTTCTGTCGATTTTTAAAAATTCAAACATATTTCTTGTAATATTGCTTTTGTATGTGTGTGCTGTTTGTTTTGCTGTTTGTTTGACAATTTATGCTTTTAAGAATTATTTTGTATTACATTATTCTTTGTAAAGGTATTGGAATGCATTTTTGCATTTATTGGTTATTTATTTAATTTAGTGAACTTAATTTATCTGCTTTAATGAATCGAAATTTTTGAATTAGTGCTTCACATTGAATTAGTGCTTCACAAATCAAGTTATTTCGCTCAGTATGCCTCTACCCTCCATTTTCTCCCATTTATTAAATAAAACATTTTTTTAATCGTTTCACTAATTCGAGAATATACTCATAGGGAGTAGACCATGACTCCTTCAATATCTTCAGTCTTTAAAATTAACCCCGATTCTTTACTTCATACCAACCCGTAGATTACAAAAGAAAAAAAGTGTTTTTTAAAGAATTAAAAGAAATAAATGGATAATAAATATTGATCATTTTCACAGTTACTTGAATGTAAATTTTAATGTAAACAACAGGGACGCTATACAGTGTTGTCTGAACGTGACCGATAAAAAATTGTTTGAAGTGTCTAAATCAACAAAATTATTCCGTCAAACTTGTGCTCTTGAAAGCAATTTGTATGTAATCTTTACTTAACAGATGTCAATATAATGTTAGATAAAAATGTTAATCTTGAAACCAGCCCGTCTGAGCATAAAAGATAAGAACAGAAATACGTTCAGCAAGTATGACACATCTTCTGATGCAAGTATCTATTAGAGGGCAAGTAAATAGTCTGCTATGTGTCAAATCAAGCACGTGATCTCCGTGCTAAGTAAAAAGTATTACATCGTGATGTTTTCAATATGACAAATTTGGATTTCCTTTTTACATCCTCTTTGCCAGCAGTGGATTCAAAAAGATCACCTTTTTTTTGTTTATGAGGCAAACTCGAATTTGCAAAATTTGGCTTATTAGTGACAGGAACTTTAGAATATTTTAAAATGCTCCAACGACCTTAATTATATGAGAATAATTGTGCAAAATTCGTTATTATAGCTTAATGTTCATGAGTTAATAAAAAAAAAACCAAGAAATATTTCATTTTGCGTATTACTCGCTACGCCATTTGTAAAAAAAATAATTTAGTTTTTGAATTTTTGTAACAAGATATTTTAATACAAATGCTTTATTAAATAAACAATATTTATTATATTAGGCTTGAAGGCGATTTTGCTTGATGCAAACTGAGAGATGAATATTCTTGAGTATCAAGAGATGGTATTGATTAAAGTTCATGTATAGAATGAACAAAAGTGATTCTTCACACAAACGTAATGTCAAAGATGTAAGGTTTTAAAATTCCGATTGAAAAACAGTTAATATAACCAATCTTTTTCAAAATTAACAGTACATTATTTAAATAAACTATGGTTTTATTATTAAATAAAATAAAATAATACAAAGTTGCATCCAACTACAGTCAAAATGTGTTGGTTTGAAAAAGAAAAGCTGTCTATAAAATAAATCAAAATGTGTACGTTGAGTTAATATGTATTGGGGAATAAAACAAAGCCTAGATACTACTGCATTATCAATATTATTGTACTTTTTGTTTGCTGGTGTAGCCGCCGTCGCTGAACTTTAGCAACAACACCAATTTTAATCTTAACCTAAGTCTTATTTAACCTTAACTTACAACCAAATGACGTTAGCTGAGGTTAGGAAAAAAAATACGAAAAATAAAAATAAAATAAACATGTCAGCTTTTTATGAGTTTGTTCCCTTGGATTAAAAAAAACTCCTACGTTGAGTCACTTTTAAGACACTCATTAATTCATTTTTTTAGAATGCTTTTTTTAAAAAAACTATCAGACCCTATCGTATGCCATACATTAAAGAATTACATACTTTATCTAATATTAGCTTCACAATAAATAAGCTGAAAAAAATTTGTCTGCAAGTGTTTTTATTTCCATTATTTTACTTTTAATTGTAACTTAAGGGACGGCGTGGTCGAATAATAGAGCGATTGGCTGCCAGCCTGTAAGTCTCGAGGTCGGATCTCTTTCCAATGAATCTCTAGGTCTAAAGAGAAGCTTTGCTTTAATACATTACGTCTTAAACAAACACATGCGGTACATAAAGATATTCATACCAAACAAGTAAAATTAAAAGCTGTACATGTTCTATATAGCTTGGAAATTTTTATTTATTCGTCGGAGTTTAAGATTTCCATAATCTATATATATATATATATAATTCTCTTCTTGGTGACGTTAGAAAACAAGCTGTAATCGCGCCTTGCAGTCACCTCTCTTCCTCTCTAGGAAGTCTTGTGAGCTGTGGTTCACGCTAAATGTTTACAATCGTAGAGCCGGGTTTAGTGACAGCTATTAGGGGCAGATGATTTAGTTTGAAACGATTTTAAACTTAGAGGAGGTAGCTAAGAGGACGCTGCTTTCACGGGGGGGGGGGGGGGTGGTTAGGGGTTGGGGGAAAGGAGGGGGGGTTATCGTCCTTAACGACTTACTGATAGTGTTTTAAAGCAAATATTTTCAGTGACAGCAGTGGTACTGTCGAATTTAACAAATTATGAATTACTGAAAAGTAGAAAATAAAACAACTAAATAGCGGCGTATACGCCGCGGGTGCGGGTCGGCTCGTAGGAATTATTTCTTTAAAATATACTTATTGAAAACATAATGCCATACTAAAAATGTGTATTTAATTTAAATGAAATGAATTATATCAAAATATCTTACAATTATTTACTACACATTAACACAGAAACACAAACACTTCAAAACGCAGATTAACACAGTCTCACACAATCCACATGCGCACAGATCCTCGAAAAAACAACTTAGCGCACAAATCATCCCATCACTCATCGATCTAGACTCATAATTGATGAACCTAAAGCTATGGATGACAGGTATGACGCAGAATGCCAACAATTACTAGTAGCCATGAAAGAAGATAAAGATTTTGGGGCGTATGTAAATCATTTTGAGAACCAAGCTTGGAGTCAGGGCATCGCCCCCAAGGTTTGGTCACTCATGCTCACGGACAAATTGAATAGTCGACTCAAATTGTTTCTTATTAGACAAGGTCTAAAACAGGTGCACGACTTCGAGTTTGTTAACTCAAACTAATGACACGCAGATTTCACCGAAGAACAATACAGACGTCAGCTCCACCAGCTAATGCCGATTAAAGAAGACATGAGAAGTTTTGCTGTCAACGTTGCAGCTTCTCCAAAAACTTGGTTCTTGCAGTCAAAAACTCGAAGGAAAATTACGAAGATCTGGTCAACTTACAAATGATAGATAGAATAAAATCTGTTGTCAAACTCGACGTCTTGGGGAGGCTGAACAATGCTGCCAAGATAAAGTGTGGAGGACAACCTTAAAGGTATTAATAACTACAAAAACACTCAGCATGGTGGTAACGATGCTAGTAACCCAAAACACCGCATAGTTTGCTGTAGGCTCAACAACTAATAATTCACCAAGTCCATGCACGACATCGAGAGAAAACACATGCTACACATGAATTGATGGGAGGGGTGTATAGGGGTGGTCAAAGCTCCACTGTGGTCGAACCTCCTATGGTCCAACCCCCTATGGTCAAAGCACCTGTGGTCAAAGCACCTAGGACCATAGGGGTGATTAGGCCACACTGCGAGAGTGTATCCCACCTCTAGACGGGATCGTAACAAGCCGTATTGTGTTGTTCTATGTTAAGTGTATTCCCTAGAGAGAAAAACTCAACACCATTCATTCTTTATTGTGTTACGATTTTTTTGTATTTCCGTTTGTTTTCTGCTTTTTTCTTTATAAATAATTTAGGACTTTTGTTTTTGTTTCTAAGCTATATTCAAACTTTTTCTTCCTATACTGCTTTTCTTTGGGTATTTTTGTTTTAAACTTATGCTTTTATTCCTTTTACTTAATTTCTATAAAAAGATAAACGTGATTCTTTTATTTACTCGTAATTTTTATGTATTTAGGTACCTTATATTCTTACTATTTAATTGTTCAAATTTTCATAATGACTGCTTAGCTTATTTTAAGTTTTTTTTTAAAACTTCACCTTATTTCACCCTACTCTTACTTTTCCCTCATTTTATTGAATAAACCGGTTATTTAACCTTTCACCTATTCGCGAATATAAACACAGGAAGCAGGTCATGACCCCCGTCAATAACCCCTGTCCGTTAGAACAAACCCCGATTCTTTATCTCCTGCTACTTAGTCTATTACGAAAGAATAAAGTTATATAGGCCTACGCCATCAAAGTAAAGAAATGAAATAAATGATGATGTTTACAGTTATTTTAATATAAAAGTTAATGTAAACAATATTGTCGCTATATAGAGGCGATATACGAGAGATAAAATTTGGATTATAGACCCCAGCCCCCGTCCACACGCGTTCATTTTCGACGACACGCCCCCCCCCCCCCTCTTCAATGTGGACGCCCACAAAACTTTAGTAGACCTTTTAAAACTTACTACCAAGTTACTATTTCAATAACATGTATTGTGTACATATTAACTGATTTACGATTTAATAGTTTCGATAATGTTTATTAGTATGCCTAATAGTAGAATCTAGAGTGTAGAGAGAAATTTTTAAAACGTCTGAAACGTTAAAGTATGAATCTATTATTTATTTCAATGTTTTCCAACAAACAAAAACTCAAGCAAAATATTAAATACTTTATGTGTGTATGTGTTGGGGGGGGGGGGGGGTGCTAAAAATATTATTCTATGTACTCGTTGATGGATTTTATTATTTAATACGAGCATTTATAAGATTAATAAACCACAAGGCCTCCTTCGGTTCATGACCTCTATTTCTGTTTCTGCATCGTTAACTTACGAAAGAGGAGCTATTTGTTTTATTAGGGTTCGTCCATAAATGACGTAATGCTGCAAATGGGTGGCATACTGAGATGTGACGTCATATCAGGCTTTGGGTCCTGGCTTTTTGTGACGATGTGTGCCGTTGGGACAATGGAATTAGCAGGTAAAAATCGTTAAAATAACGATGTCGCTTTTGATGAGGATGGCCCCAGAATAGATATAAATATGGGTATTTATTTACACGTTTTTTAAAATCAAGCCTCTTAATTTTACTTTTTTAAAGCGCAATTTCCATTCTGGAGAATTGCGTTTATTAACCCGTCATTTCTGGATGTATGAATGTATGGATGTGTGTTCGCAGCTTTAAGTCGTATCTCCTCCTCAGCGAAGCAATATCGAGGACTAGTTCCAAAAGCAACTTTGTTAAGCAAGTTACGAGGATGATAGTGGGCCAAAAAAATTCAGGAATTCCTTCCTAGATTTCACGGAAAAGCCAAAAAAACTTTAAAAAATGCAGTTTTTGGCCCATATCTCGGCAACCAGACCACTTAGTGTCTTGAAACATTTACCAATCGATTTCTGCCATAATTTAGAACAATATTGCCGAAGAAAGTTTACAAAAATATCCTTTCGTTCGGTCACAAATTTTAAAATTACATAAACACCTACAAACCGATCGTTCTCCTAGCTTGAACTCACCCCAGCATTATACGTCAGAGCTATTTTTAGATAACATAAGGAAATTGCGCTTAAATGTCACTAGACTTTTTAATTAACTTGTTTTTGCTAGCAGGATATGAGTTTATATTTAATGTTAAAGTCAACATGTAGACGTTCACTTGGTCCCGACCCGCTCCCACCGCCCAGCGTCTATAAAAGTCGATTTTGTGGACCCCTTCCCCCCCCC